GCACAGAATGGAACCAGCCCTGCCAAGCAAATTCCCCAGAGCCAAAACCTCCAGGATTGCCTTCAGTGCCCTCCCCACATGGCAGCTGTGCCCCTGCAGAACGTGGATTTCAATTTAACCCCCAGCCTTCCAATGCCCTGACTGCTCTTGGCTTTCTGCCTCCCATCCCATCCTCCCCAGAGCTGACAATGCCAGCCTGGATTTTGTGCTGTTTCCAAAAGTTCCTCTCCCATTTCAGCCACCCAGAACTCCTCTCTTTTTTATTAAATAGTGATAAATGCATATTCTAAAATAGAATTGTTTGTACTGATTGCAGTCAGAACTGCCCTGGGTGGGTGAGAGCTCTCAGAAAGAAAAGGTGAATTTTTCTGACAACACAGGAATCTCCTCCAGTCAAAGGGGAATTTGGATGTTATTTAATCAGAACTCAGTGACACAAGGACTGGGTGACAAAAAGGTACAAATTAAACATTCTGTCAGTTCAAAACCAGCAACCTGATGAACAGAATTACTTTCCCCATGGAAAAGGGCTGGAAAGTTGAGTGTCTGAGCCCACTGCATGACACTGAGTCACACCAAAATGACACATAAAAAAGGCACCCAGCACCTATGCTGCAGCACAAAAAACAGTTCCAGCTAAATGAAGGAAATCAGTGAGGTGTCCCCTGAGTCAGAGTGACACAAATGTGGGATTTACAGCTCCACCACAGTGCTGTTCAATGTGATGGCTTCAAATATATATATATATATTAAATGAATTTAAATACATGTGACCATACTACAGAACTGAGAAAATCCAAACTACTGCTACTTGGTCACTCCTCAGGTGCAAGACAAATCCATACTCCTGGCACTGCTTTTTTAGGAACAAAGGCCACCTATTTTGGCAGCTTTCAAATAAAATTATTCATATTTCTGATTTCAGTGAAATGGAACAAAATTTGATTAAAAGCAGCAAGTGTGTGCAACTTCCTGTAACTTTAAAATTTCACTTCTAATTATGTGTTGAGAAATGTAATTAAAGTCATCTGCACACCAAAACAAATGCTATTTACAAATGAAAAATTAGTATTCCTTTGTTTCCCTGCTTGCCTGGCTCATTAAGCAAATTTAAATGGAGTCACTGATGCCTTGCATGAAATGGGGCTGTTCCTAAATGCCAGGGAATAACTTCCCCTGGTTATCAGGGCCATTTCTCAGGCTCTGACATTGTCCCAGAGCTGGGGGGGAGGCAGAGGGTGAGCTCAGGCTGGGGAGGGGTCTGGGCCTGTGCCAGGAGATGCAGCAGGACTGAGAAATCCCTGATTGCACAGGGAGTGGCACAAATTACTCTGCATTTTATGACAGAACAAAGTGGAAACCTTTCCTCCTTTCTCTGTGTTATGGTGCTTGCCTCAGTTTACCAAACATTATCTCACTTCCTGGTCCTTCCAAAGGCAACCATTCCCCCAGGAAAAACACTGAGAACCAGCTCCAGCAGCTCTCGGTGTTTGACACATTCAGCTGGGTTAAAAATACTTCTGTGCTGAGTTTCTTACTCTTTGGAGTGACCTGATTAGGCTGAAATGACTTCCAAGTGCTCAAGCACTTACATTTTCCTTAGTTTTGCATCTGTTGGATGAGATTCCTACACTGTTGTAAATCACAAGGGAATTCAGTAAAATTGAATTTTATCTAGAGGTCCAAACATAACTGTCCCATGAACTTTCCAATTCTGTGGACAGCATCACCTCCATGTATTTCTGGAATTCACTGAAAAGCTCAATGCCAGCTCTGACACAATGGTACCAGTGACAGGGATATCAAAACCAGAATTGAGAACAACAATAAATAGTAAATAAAATCTATTAAAACAGTAGATGTTGCATTTAAATTATTTTTTAAATTCCAAACCTGAGTTTCAGTATAAACTTTCTGTGAAAAGCTCAGTAAAAGCTGTTCTGAAAGTTTCAATTTCAAAGCACAAAAAAGAGCAGATCTCAGTTTGACACAGGTCAAGATCTCTCCCAGAACACTCAGAGGGTTGGGGTTTTTTTCACATTCCTCTTTCTCTCCATTTCTGTGAGACCTCAGAATACTCAGTGGTTTTCTGTAACCCCAATGTCTCCTTTCACCCTTCCATGTCATGCAAATAAATTACCTGTTCATAAAATCCTGACTTCATTATGCATTTTCATTTCAGATGGTCAGGAAAGAGTTTGAATGCCCACTTTTAAAACCAAGAGGATAACAAGGGTGTGTTGCTTTATTCAATTAACCCACCATGAGAGGATGAAATGTGAGGAAAATCCACGAGAGCACAAAAACACAACAAAAACACAACCAGAGTGCTGAGATCCCTGATACCTCCAGAAGCACCTCCCTCCTCCTGAGGGATGGAATGCATGCTTGCATTACACTGCTACATCAAGTGTCATTTATCAGCCTTTTGCTTTTGGATTTAATTTCAAAACCAGCTGTTCCTTCTTTTACATTAACATAGACATAAGGAAGCACTTCTTCTCTGGAGACAACTCCTGAGGATGCTTCTCTTTAGTTAATTCTACCACATGCCAGGAATATGATTTATTTTACTGGAGAAGCAAATTAAGAGGTAACACTTATTTTTGAAACAAATATTATTTTCTCAACTCTCTCAGTAATTTTACAACCCACTATATAAAGACCAAAAATAAACCCAGTATTACCAGCCAACCACTTCAGAAATTTTTTTTTTTTAGCTTGCTTGGTAGCAAACTTCTAGAGTTTGCCCATTTCTAGAGTTTGCCCACTTCTAGAGTTTGCCCACTTCTAGAGTTTGCCCACTTCTAGAGAAGTGTTGTAGCCTCAGCATTATTATCTCTTAAAAATAACAACCCAGTGTCCTTGCACACAACATTTCACATGCCAGCAGAGAAGAGATGAGCTCAGAGAAGGAATTTCTCTCACTGAACCCAACGTGGCGGAGCAGGGAGATTCAATGAACAACAACTCTGTGAACCCTGGCAGGGATTTTTTTAGGGTGTGCAGGACAAGAAGCGCCTTTACTCACAGTGTGTGACTCCAGCCAGGGTCTGGTAGAAGGTTGGGGTGTCACTGTCATCAGTGAGGGTGACATAGACCCCTCCTGAGAGCAGCCACCGCGAGAAGGTGAACGCGTCTTTGTTGTGCAGCAGCCAAACCCTGAACTTCTCATAGTTCACCTTCTCACCCTGCAAGAAAAACCAGAAAATGGGAGCTGTTTTTCTCTCTGCAGGTAAACAGGAACCATCCAGCTGTATGAACAAAAAATTGGGACAATCTCCTAGAAAAATAAGTGCTAATGTAATTTTTCTGCTTGGAGCCATGCCTGTTTTTGCCTTTCCTTTTGAAACAGCAATGGGAGGGAAATTAACTTCAAGTTCTCTCTGCATTTCAGCCACCTACTCAATGTGGCCTTTGGAAACTCATTTACTCTGAACCTCAGGTGAAAGGGATGAAAAGAAAAATGGTTACTTGCAATTCAAAAGAGCAGAGGTTATTTGGATGAATTTAAATGTATTATTATAGATACCAGCTCTGCTGCACCAAAAAAAACAGGTGCTATAAAAATCATAAACATTCTGTTCTATCTGTGCAGGTATACAAACAACAGAGAAAAATCAGATTTGGGAATAACTGATGCTGTGATTAATTACTGCAGGAACATGGGGACTTTTTATCACTGAATTTTTTGCCTCCACTGACCAAAATCCACACTGGAGCATAAAAATGAACCTGACATTGCCAGGATCTCCTCACTCCCTGTCCCCTGCAGCTCCCTGTTCAGGAACACACAAAAACTCCACATTCACACAATTCCAGTGCTGTTTAAACCATTTATTTGGCTCCTTGCCAAGCTGTGGCCATGAAACCATGGGGATCAGCAGACTAATTTCTACAGGACCTACAAAACTACCTCAAATAAAAGCAAACCCATTATCAGGAGACAAACTCATTATATGGAGATTCTCATCTCCAGGGGAAATAAACAGGGGTCTGCAAAGTGGAAGAGGTTTCAAGTCATTGATTATTTAAACTCCCCTCATATCACAGACCATTAAACTTCACTGAATTACATCTCTACAGAACCCAACAATTTGCATTTGGCCACGGACTGTCTGCAACTGCCAAGTGCAGAAAATTGAAAATTCACTATATTCCCTCTGCCAGGCTGCTCCAGTGGCTCATCACCACACTGCTGAAACATTTGCTTCCTATTCCCATTGCAGGGAGTTGTTTCAGCTCCAGATACTCATTCTTTTTATGCCTCTTTTTCTAGACTGAAGAGTTTTATATTTGCATCCAACAAATCCCAGACTGGTTTGGGTTGGAAGGGACATTAAAGCCCATCCAGTGCCACCCCTGCCATGGCAGGGACACCTTCCCCTGTCCCAGGCTGCTCCCAGCCCTGTCCAGCTGGCATTGGGCACCCTGTGCCAGGCCCTGCCCACCCTCACTTGGATTTCTTATTCTTCCATTTCTCCAACAGTTTGGATCAAGAGAAAAGAACATTTTCTCCCTCTCTGTTCCACCCTTTTCCTCTTGTTTTTGCACTGCTCTTTGTAAAGGCAGCAAGAGCTGGGTCATTAAAACTCCAATTTTCCCTGGAAGGACAATGAAGAGGAACAGAAAAACTTTGGACAGGAGGAAGAAAGCATTCAAGCAATGATGACAGCTGAATTATGGTGGAACCTGAGCAATGCAGTTACCACTGATTCTTCCCCCTGTATTTCAGAAACAAAAGGAAAACCCAGATATATTCTAAAACTTCTATTTCTAGCTGAGCAGATGCAATAATTCTGATGAACACAAGTGCCTATAAACATCATCCTTGAAATCAAAGGCATCCTCCAGCAGGCAGGCAGGAAGGCCCACAGCAGGAACATTCAACTTTCCCACTCTCCAGCAATGCCCATGGATGATTAAGAGCCCAGTAAATCCTGCTGAGTGGGTTATTACACATTTTCATTTTAAAACAAAAATCAATATGCAGCATTTTCTTGAACAGGAAAATGCTCTGAAGCCCAGGTTGATACTCATCTTCCTGCAAGGCTTCATGAAGTATTTCTGGATTTCCTGGACAGTGTGCCATTAACGTGGAGGGTGCCATTCATCACAGCACACTGATGGGAGATCAGAAATAGGAAATGGCACTGAGGGGCAGTGCAGAAGCTGCAGGGCAGGGGAATCAGGATTTCCATTGCAGCCAGGGCTCAGGGATGCAATCACTGCCCCAGAGCCAGGGCAGAGTCTGGCCCAGGCACTGCCCACAGCCAGAGCCATCTCCAGCACAGCACAATCAAATCTGAACTAATTAAGTAACCTGAGAGCCACAATTAAAGCTCCCAGTCAATCTGGTCAATCCTTTTGCCAGGGGAAGGTACAATGATGTCTCACATTTGCTGGTTTTAGTCATCTGATAACAAACCAAGCAGAAACCCCTGAAAATTCATCAGGATCCCTGGAGACAAAGAATCATCTATGAACAGGAAAGCACCAATGCTCTGCTTTAGAGGAGGACTTCAGCAAGCTGCACAAAGATTGCATCTCTCAAACAACTTAAAGCATAATTAAATGCTGTAGCTCCTGGCAGGAAAATGAAACAAAAGCAATAATATAAAATTATTATCTTGAAGCAACCATGGCTGTCAGGCATTTTTAAATCCAGGGTGCAGATTTCTCTGTGTTCTAGATTTCTTCCCTGATTGCAATAAAATGTTCACACTAATGACAAAGTTCCCACCAGCAATATTAGTATTTAAATTCACCTGATGACAGGATTCCCATTGGGAAATGATCTCTTTCCAAGGAGCACAGTGAGTACAGGAGCACACAGAATTTATACACCAAATACTGTTCCCATCAATACAAATTACATGAATACCACAACACAAAACCCCATGAGCTTTTACTCCATTTAAACAAGGTAAATTTGTTCCCATAGGTGCATGAGTAAGAAAAAGAAGCTACTTAATGGAATCTTGACTTTTTGTAACTGCAGCAGGAGGAAAGGTGCATGACACACCTCAGAGAAGCATTTCTTGAGTGACTCTGGGACCTTCCCATCAACCACATGCAGCATCTTCTCCATCTCTTCACGGACCACATAACTCCCAGATTCATTAGAGAAGAGGCTGAAAATATCTGGGGAAACAGAAATATGTGTAAACATCTATGGCAGTGGCATTTTTCAAATGCAAGGTCTATAACTGGCTGAGAATGTCAAAGGCTGTGCAACAGCTAAAGGACTAAACACTTGGGTTGATCCAAGGTCAATACAGCTCCACAAGGTTCAGGTCAAGACCTTCCTTTTCTTTTACCACTTTAATCAAAATAAAAATGAGTTTTATCAAGTGAGATTAACAGAGAAGACAAAACAACAGAAGTCAGTAGGCAGATGTTTTCTATTTTTTTGAAAAATATCAATGCCATCCTCCTTCCTCTGCCCACACACAGAGACCATCAGGCTTTCTGCAGCATCCCAACACTGACATTCATGATGCCTTGGCAAATATTTCATTTTGATGAATACAGAAAACAAAAGTGCACTTGATTTCCAAAAATACAGCTAAAAATGCTTCCAAAAATCCCATCTTCACTGTAAAATGGTCACACTTCATACTCAAATCCTCTGTCTCATTGTTACTAAGTTACACCACTTACATTTTGTTTTTTCCTCCTCTTTGCCTCTTGTCAGTAGAACTAATCCAACTATCAAGTTATTGAAGTGCAGCCCTTTGGATATTCCTCCAAATGAACAGTAGATAACCTGGAAGAATGAAACAGAGAAGTTAACAAGAACCAACAGAGATGTCAGAAGTAAAACCAGCAGCTTACACTGAGGCTCCCCCTTATGTGGTTTTTGGGCTAATCACTTCACATTCAGCTAAAGAACTTCAATTCTTAATTGTGTTACCCTTTTGTAGCTCTTCTGGTACTGAACAGCCTTTATTTAGTGAAACACAGGTACAAGTCATGAATAGCAATATAAACACTCCACATTAGAACCTCCAGTGAAGGCACTCCTCACTTGCTCGTGGTGTTTCCCCAGATTTGTTCATCAGGGCTGGGCTCTGCCAATGCCCAGGGCACCAAGGGGATGCAGCAGGAATGCCCAGGGCAGGCTGGCAGAGGCAGGGGAACCCCAGAGCCCTGGGAGTCCCTGCCCCACCTCAGGGTGATTTCCAGCAGAGTCAGAGCCAAGCCAGGACTGGGAGTGCCCAAACCAAACCAGTCCAGAGCTGGCCAAGCCTCCCAGTGCTGTGGGGGCAGGAAGGGAACACCTGGCTCAGATTTACTGCTGCTCCTCAGACACCTCAGCAGGGCTGGGCCACCTGCAGGAACCCTCTCCTGGTCTGTCTGTCCGTCCATCCATCCCTCTGGACTACTGAAACCTGTCTGCAATGCATGCACAGCAGGATCTCATTCTGGGCCCCACTGCCATCCCACCCAAACACTTCCATTGCCACAGGGGCTCCCATCAGCCTCTTCTGTTCCTCTCCTTTAATCCACTCACAAATGCTTGAAGGGCTGAATTATTGAAACTGAGTTTGTGCTTTGTTTGGACACAACAATTGTAGAGGCTTCAAGGCAGGGATTTGAATTCCACACTTTTTATGTCTTCTGTCTTCACCAAATGCCTTCAAGGCTACACTGCCCATGTGAGCAATTTACCTTCACTTTACACTGGAATAATTATTTTTTTTAAATATGCAGCTGAAATATCCACTCACTCGGGCTGAACTTTGTACATCCCAGCTGTGATAGCAGATGAGCAGCAAACATTACATTTATACATTGTTTCAACACAACACAAGGATTACTCATGAGACAAACAGAGGAAAGGAATTCCATGGACAATGTCCAGTGTATCAGTATTCAATATATGGAACTGCTTGGAGTTTAGCTGCTCGATCATTCCTTGGAAAGAGTTTATAAACACTTATAAAATAGTGTTTTAGTCATGTAACACATCATTTCTCCACATTTTTTCATGTTGGTGTGGCATTTGGAAAACTTCTAATAACACGCACCATCAAAATGTGATGCAATTTTGTGTCTTCCAAAATGACTTAATGCTGTTGCAGCTTTACTTAAACCAGCCCCACCCAGACAGAATGACAGCAATCTGCATTTCAGAATGTACAATTCACTATCATTATAAGGCACAGAGTACTTTTTAAAATAAAATTTAAGCCTGACATGTTCTGTTTCATGGGCAACCGAAGAGCATAACAAGATTGAAAAGCCAAAGCTGTGCTCCTGCTTCCCCACCTGAGCAGCTTTCCTGCAGTTTAACACCACAGACACATCCCTAAATTCCCTTTTATTAATATCTTCAACCCCATTCTCCCAAGGGATCCTCCCAGAACATTGCTGTCCTGAACATTTAAAAAATGTTTTGTGTGCAGGACAATCACCCAAATCGCTGGATTAAAGTTCCACTGGTTTCAGTTCTCTGTTTCATGTCCAGTTTGAAACTCCTGTGTTTTTAATTTAACCAATTCCTGAAGGCCTCTCTCTCCTCAGATATGGAAATCCATTATTTCAGCATGCAGAGCCCACAGCCCAGCTCCAAGGCTCCAAATATCAGCTTTAGTGACTGAAGGGCTGAAAACTCCGGGTTTTTAGCTGCCCAATGGCTTTGCCTGCCTCTCCCCATCCTGAAGCCAGGAATTACAAAGCATCCCTTGACTCAAATCCCAATTTTGGCCCAATTTTCAGTTTTCAGGCTCACAGATTTGATACTGAGTATGAATGCTACAAGTACATCATAATTTGTACTCGGATTTTGAGATGAGTTCTGATGAGAAGCCATCAAAAACCAATTAGGAATCTTCCATTAATTTTATTTCACCACCTGGAAACCAAGAACTGCTCTGTAACCATCATGAGTGTTAAAAGAGAGAATTATCACCAAAATTGTGTCTAAAAAAATAAAATAAAAACCAGGCAGCAGAATCTGAAACCCCAGAACCTCTATTTGTGACCAAATCAGTAAATTAATTGATTTAATTTAATTTATGTTCTGTGTTACCTTATACCTTTATATCCCTTAATACATGAAAGGGATATAAAGGTATAAGGTAACACAGAACATAAAATTCTCAATATTTTATACTATTTCAAACCAAGATACGTTTTTTGTTTAATCTTAGGGGTTACCAGCATTCAAACTCAAAAATTCATGCTGAAGACAGGCTTCAAGCTCTGGGCAAATCAGACCCCTCCTTTTCCACTGCAAATTCTCCTGCTAAGCCTTGAACACCCACACAAAAAGCCAACTGTTTACAGAAGTAAAGTAGTATCATCCTCTTTGCCAAAATTTAGGGAAAAAGGGGAGGAAAAGAATGGAGGAAAGATGAAGCTGAGGAAAAGGAACTCTGCCAGAGTGTAAAACCCTCAGCAATGCAACACTTCAGCACTCACGTTATCTAAATAAAACTGGGGACTTGCACCATCCTCTGAGGTCAACAGCTCTGAGGGTGCCAAAAATAGAGGCTGTGACTGGGAATGACATGGAGCAGGGGGATCAGCTGAAAGGTCTGCCTAATCTTTGTCTCTCTACCAAGAATATTTTGATATCTCTCTCAAGAAAGGGGCAACTCCAAAACAACTCCAAAACAAAATAACTTTTTAAACATGACTATGTGTAGGATGGTATTGCTATTTTATTTTTTAGATAGATATATGTTTATATCTATGTTGTAAATTTTGTTTCTGGTTATTTTTCAGCTCATTCATACATCTGTTATGAGCAAATTTATTTTTAAGAGCTTGTAAAGATTCATCTTTAGAAAACAAACTAACAGCCAATGGAATCTCAAAGGAACCAACAGCAAGTGCATCTCTGGAGTAAATAAAATCTGTTATTATGGTCTTGTTAGAAATTCCCAGTCTTTTAATTGCCCAAATTTACATCTGGATATTTAGGTTTATTCCAAGTCATCCACCAGGTATTAATAGGGTTGGGAGCACGTCCCTGAGCCAGGATCCAGGACTGGAACACCATTTCCAGGCAGAGAGGTGCTTTGTGATGTTGTATAAAAACAGGAAACAATTCAACCAACTCCTCAACATTTGTGTGTGCACAGCAGATCCAGGTGCCCTCCATCCCCTGCCTTTGGCTCCCAGGAAAGCAGCAATTCCCAGCTCACCTCAGCAACTTTGGGAGGGACCCCATCACCCAGAACTTCCCTGATGAAGCACTGCTGGGTCATATAATAGGAGAGGCCACAAGTTCTCTTGAAAGCATCTTTGAGCCTCTTCAGTTCTATGTCTGTAACTGAGAACAGAGGAAAGAAAAAATTGGTCAGTAAAGATGTTACAGAAAGATAACAGCTCAAGGAATCTCAAAATCCTCCACTCCTTACGCTTACCTTTACAATAAAAAGACACCAAGAAATTAAATGCATGATTTCCCCTATAGAGTGGGAAAATGAGATCTAATCATCTAATCTTGCTTGAAAAGAGAGAAGGGAAGCAGACCTGTGGTTACCATCAATGGCAACAACAGCTCACTGCTAAGTTTTCTGACTACAATAGTGGATTGTAATTTGTTCTAAATTCAGCACCATTCTTGTCACACAAAGGAAAATGAGGCAGCTTTATGATCAATTCTGCATTGCATGCAAGCCAGGGAAATTATCTGCAACCAACAGTGGTGAATATTATTAAGAGCAGCATCTTTCAAGTAGTTCCATCTATTAACCAGTCTACCTTTCTGTATTAAAACAAATAAAATACTTTATCATCACCACAAGTTCATGAGACAGTGCAGTGAGGTGTAATTTAGCAGGAATAAAATGTTGGACTACACGGAATTCTTGCCCCAAGATCCCCTTGCACAGCCAAGATCTGCTTGCCAGCTACACCTGCTCAAACCTGTTCACACCTGCACTGGTGTCAATGTGATGCCATCCCACTCCAGGAGCTCCTGGAAAGCAGCGCTGCTGAG